CTCACGGCTCTCGCCACATACCCCATTACCCCTCGCAGGCCGCAAGCACCCTGCGGTTCAGGAACAAAACTGAGAATAATAGGGCCAATAGAAAGGAGCTGTATAGCTGTGGAGAGACTGAAGAGTGACAGAGAGAGGGGGAAAAAATTGAGGTTTGGTTCTCCAGACACACTGCAACTAAGTCCTCAACCAGCTGAGAGATCGGATGACGTGCTGGGAGTCCTGTGGAGGAATCTATCCAACTGTTCGTCCTCTGGTGTCCGGCAGCGGTTCTCCTGGCTGGCAGCATTTCTGGTCCCCTGCTCAGCTCCCGCTTCGGTGGATGGATGCAGGCTTCGTCATCATGGAGGACAGCGGTGACTCACCCGGGCTATCTTGGATGGCTCCCTTCAGCTGTTTCCCTTCTGGTGGCGAGCCCCACGTCCCCTGCTCCTCCCCATACTGGAAGACGGCAGCAGGCAGATCCTCTCCTCGCCAGCTTCAGGCCATCCCGGCACTCTTTGCAGATGATTGGGTTTCTCCCCCACTCGAGTTAACTCTCGAACACTCGCCCTCCATCTCAGTAGCGAGGGCAGCGGATAACGTGTCCGTCCTTCTCCCGGATTTCCACTGTAATGAAGTTAGGAAGAAGGAGGCAGAGAACTGATAAACTTTTAAATAATTTTTAATGAGCAAATAAAGCAAACGGATATGGACATGATGGCATCACGCAGTTGCTGCAGCTTTGTCAGCTGCACATTCATGATGCCAATATCCTGTTCCACCACAACCCAAAGGTGCTCTATTGGATTGAGCTCTGCTGACTGTGAGGGCCATTTGAGTACAGTGAACTCATTGTCATGTTTAAGAAATCAGTCTGAGATGATTCATGCTTTAAGACATGGCATGTTATTCTGCTGCAAGTAGCCATCAGAAGATGGGGAAAGGGATGGACATGGTCAGCAAAAATACTCAGGTAGGCTGTGGCGTTGAAACAATACTCAATTGGCCCAAAATGTGCCAAGAAAATCTCCCCCACACAATTACACCACCACCACCAGCCTGAACCGTTGATACAAGGCAGGATGGCTCCATGCTTTCATGTTGTTGACGCCAAATTCTGACCCGACCATCAGGATGTGTCAGCAGAAATGGAGACTCATCAGAGCAGGCAACGCTTCTCCAATCTCCTATTGTCCAGTTTTGGTGAGGCTGTGTGAATTGTAGCCTCAGTTTCCTGTTCTTAGCTGACAGGAGTGGCACCCAGTGTGGTCTTCTGCTGCTGTAGCCCATCTGCCTCAAAGTTGGATGTGTTGTGTTTAGAGATGCTCTTCTGCAGAGCGCTTCTGCATTGAGTTACTGTTGCCTTGAATTTAGCAATTCTCCTCTGACCTCTGGCATCAACAAGGCATTTGCGCCCACAGAACTGCCGCTCACTGGATATTTCCTTTTTGTCGGACCATTCTCTGTAAACCCTAGAGATGGTTGTGCGTGAAAATCCCAGTAGATCACCAGTTTCTGAAATACTCAGATTAGCCTGTCTGTTACCAACAACCATGCCACGTTCAAAGTCACTTAAATCCCCTTTTTTCCCCATTCTGATGCTCACTTTAAACGGCAGCAGATCATCTTGACCATGTCTACATGCCTAAATGCAGTGAGTTGGTGCCATGTGATTGGCTAATTAGACATTTGCGTTAATGAGCAGATGGACGGGTGTACCTAATAAAGTGGCCGGTGAGTATATATTATTTCTGTAATAGCTACTCTTTTTTTTTTTAATTATGCTTAAGTTTACTTCTGTTTCTTAAGTGTGGATTCGTGATCTCATCCAAAAAATTAAGCTCATAAAAAGACAATACGACTGGTTTCCTGTTGACTTCATCCATTTGAAATAACATTGCACATACCAACAGTTAGGACAGTCCTCTGCATTTATCTGACATATTAGCACCACTGACATATTAGCAGGACTCTTCCCCAGCTGTTTTGAAACGCTCCAATGTTTTCTGTCTTCTCATTCGCTGTCATTATTTTTCTCTCGTTTTTGCATTGATTTGCTGACTGGCATGAAATGAGAAATACCTTAGTTTGCAGCCGAGGGTACAGCAGGATTAGAGCTAGGCACTTTGCGCGTGTGTGTGTGTGTGTTGTTTTGGAGCTGTGGAGGTCAGAGAGTCCTTTACTTTTTGGCCGGTCCCATGGAATCTCTAATGAACATATCTGTGTGAACACGTACAGTATCTCTCTCTGTAAAATGTGAGATCAGATCTCTACACCACTGGAAGACAGGCTTGCTGGAAACAGACATAATTTAAGTATGCATGTGGTTATACGTGTTTCGAAACTGCTAAAGTTTCACAAGATGTTGGATTTGGATGAAATCCAGGTGTTTTTAATGTTGGCCAGGGTTGAGAAACTTGCATACTTCAGGTAAACACAGTATTGTTTTGTTTTGTTTTGTTTCATGTTTTGTTTTGTTTCATGTTTTGTTTGTTTGTTTGTTTGTTTGTTTGTTTGTTTGTTTGTTTGTTTGTTTTTGTTTTTGTTTTTGTTTTTGTTTCATTTCGTGTTTTGTTTTGTTTGCTTGTTTTTTTTTGTATCCTACTTTTTTGTTTTGTTTTGTTTTGTTTTGTTTTGTTTTGTTTTGTTTTGTTGTGTTGTGTTGTGTTGTGTTGTGTTTTGTTTTGTTTTGTTTTGTTTTGTTTTGTTTTGTTTTGTTTTGTTTTGTTTTGTTTTGTTTTGTTGTGTTGTGTTGTGTTTTGTTTTGTTTTGTTTTGTTTCATTCCGTGTTTTGTTTGTTTGCTTGTTTGCTTGTTTGTTTGTTTTGTTTTGTTTTTTACTGGTTCCTTCCGTTTTTGTTTTATTTTATTTATTTTAATTTTTATTTAATTTTTTGTCTCTTACAGTTTTTTTTGTTTTGTTTTGTACAGGCTGTGTGTAACGTTACTTGAATGTAATTTAAAGACCAGCATCACAGTATCAACTTCATATAAAAATGCAATATGTGTAAAAATGTGATCAGTAATGTTTTGATTGTTTCACCTTCATTTATTTATTTATTTATTTATTTATTTATTTATTTATTCATTCATTCATTCATTCATTCATTCATTCATTCATTCATTCATTCATTTATTCATTCATTCATTCATTCATTCATTCATTCATTCATTCATTCATTCATTCATTCATTCATTCATTCATTTATTTATTTATTTATTCATTTATTTGTTTATTTATTCATTCATGTATTTACTTATTTATTTGTTTTTTTGTTTGTTAGTTTGTTTATTTATTTATTTATTTTATGTTCAGTGAGAGAATTTATTTATTTACTTATTTTGTACAATGAGAAAATGTATTTATTTATTTATTTATTTATTTATTTATTTATTTATTTATTTGTTTGTTTGTTTGTTTGTATGTTTATTTAATTACTTAATTTATATTTTTAGTAAAAATTAATTAATTAATTTATGTATTTATTTGTTTACTTATTTTTATGTTCAGTGATATAATTAATTAATTATAATTAATTATAATTAATTAATTACTTTATTTATTTATTTATTTATTTATTTATTTATTTATTTATTTATTTATTTTATTTACAAATGTTTTTGGTGTGTGAGGGGAACAAAACACTTACAGTAAATGAGCATCATTTTCAGCATGTCTGCATGGATATTGGTCCTTGCTTTATGATTATTATATTTCTATAAGTGCAAAACACAACTAGCACATAATCAGAATAGAACAGAAATGGTGATAATGGAAATGTGTAAAAACAGCAAAAACAATGAGAATAATATTTGTAACACTAAAGAGTATTTAACATTTATACTACTACTACTACTACTACTACTAATAATAATAATAATAATAATAATAATAATAATAATAATAATAATAATAATAATAATAATAATAATAATAGAAATAATACAACAACAACAACAATAATAATAATAGAAATAATAATAATAATAATAATAATAGAAATAATACAATAATAATAATAATAGAAATAATAATACAACAATAATCAAAACAACAATACAATAATAATAACAACAGCAATAACAATATTAATAATAGAAATAATAATAATAAAATACCAACAACAATAATAATAACAATACAATAATAATAATTATAATAATAACACAATAATAATAATAATAATAGAAATAATACTACAATAATAATGATAATCATAATAATAACACAATTATAATAGAAATAATAATACAATAATAATATTAAGGAGTCCCTTTTGAACTCACCTTGACTCGTCAGACATCCTCTGACTTCACCAGCTCATGCAGAGATAACAAAAGTATGATAAAAGTAGAATCCCAGTATCCGAAAAATCAACGCCTATAAATCTGGATGAATAGTCTTCCTCAGGATAGCTGTCATATAATAAGTTCCT